CTGTCCTAATGATTTGTACATTAGATGTCTATGTTGGATGAAAATAAAGATGATACGGAATAAAATTATGTGTCTTTATCCACTATGTTAGAATCCTGAACATCCTAACAAAGATTACATCATCAATTTCGAGATTCGGTCATTACGAGACAGTCGAGCATTGATTGAAAAAGTTGGCATTGAGGAATCTTCCCAATTCATAGAAGACAACCCACACCCCAGACTTTGGTAAAATCTTTTTAGAAAACAATTTTGTTTAAATGTGTATTCTTTTGTATTCTTTTCTTGTTCAGACAGATCTGGTATTAAAGTACAAAACCTCAAATCAAAACCAGCCAAGCAGTATAAACTTCAAACAGAAACATTTAAGAAAAAGGGAAAAAAAAGGTAACAGTGCTCAGCTGCGATCTGGAAGGCTGCTATTCTTACTGAGAAGGTCTCTTAATGGATCTGAATCACCTCCAAAGGATTGTTACAGCGTTGAGGGAAGGCGCAAAGAGAGTCTTGCAATTCATGGTTCAGGAGATGCTGAGCGAGTGTTCAAGACTCCTCAGTAGCCATTAAAAAGAAAAAAAAAAAAGAGATCTTGGGGCCAGTGCTTCCCCAAGCTCCTAGGAGTTCTTGACCCCAAAACAGAGGGCTGTTGTTAAATTGGAGCTATGATTTTATCAATGTTGCAGTACCTAGAATGGAAGGCACACTGTGTGTGTCACAGTAGTGGGTGTAGGGTGCAGGCTCAGGACACCTTTGGTCTATGCTGTATGAGCCCCAAAATGCAGTGCTCTCTGCTTTTAGGGGCAAATCCAAAGGAAATTAAAAAGCTAGCAGAAAGCTAACTTTAAGTTGATTAAATTAAAATTCAAATTGGTTATAAGTTGAGAAGATATTTATTTATTTATATATTTTATATTAAACCTTGATGACAGAGCTTAAAACCCAGTAAAGGGAACATATTGGAATGATAAGATAAAAGCAGTTGACTAACTTTGTAGCATTTTGGACAGCCATAAAGGACAGAAATGAGAAGGGGTGAGTACATTAATAGTGTTATGATGCAGCCTTCCAGAAATCATCTGAGAAAAGGAGGTGTTGGCATGTTTAAACTAAACATGGACTCAGCTATTAAACTAAACTTGAAAAACCTACACAGCAAACATGTAAGAGTAAACCTGTGAAAACAGGAGTTCTGGAAATCTAGTTAATATCCTGTGTCATAAGGGCTGGAAAAGTAAATGCCTCAGTAGATAATTTAATGAAAAGTCAGTAGCAGAAACTAAAACTTCATTGACAAGTTACTTGTTGAATGATGCCAGCTCTCTTTAACACTCTGGAGACTGTTTATCTGTACCTCTCTTTAGAAATATTGGCTGGTTTGAAGCTAACTGTCTTTTTGCAGTATTGGATGTTTTGCTTGCAACAAGGGGGGCTGAGAGTTCCCGGTTAATTCTGACAGTTCAGAAGGGAATTTAGAATTTCTGAAAGACTGGCTAATACAACTTGCTTTAAAAATTTGTCCCAAAAATCATTCCTTGCTATCCAGTTGTGCTTTCATCTCCAGAACATACATTCTGAAAAACAGCATTTGATAGCTATGTGTTGAAAGTTTCTGTAATAGTACTGTAATTGGTACTAGTTTGAGTACATAGGGTAAAACATCAGTTTTGCAAGTCTTCAGTTTTCCTAATGTCTTGAACTGGCTGAAGATTTTGGAAGTTTTGAAGTCATTCATGCTTTTTGTTAGTACCATCTTAGAAGTGCTGGATATAAAGCAAATATATTCTAGATCAGAACAGGACAGTGCCCTTACTGCTAGAATGCAACAGACAGGATGCCGTGTGTTACAGATTGATTTACGTTTGCATACGTTTTTCTCTTGGTTTCATTGATGTCAGTGATAAGCTCTTGAGCTGAAGTGATACCAACCTTCTCAAATTGATTCAGAAATACTGAGTTGATACTGCCTAAGCATGCCGTAAGTCACTGAATGCAGCAGTAATATTACTGGTTTTGTCAGTGCCCTACTGACTTTGTTTCACAGTGTCAATCGGGCAGTCTCAATTTACCTAGCCTTCTTGTTGCAGAAAATTATAGAGCTTATTCAAGCACTTGATGGACATAGGTTGGCCTGAAGGTAGAAATTCTCTATTTGCAGAACTACCCAATGAGGCAGTACCAGCAGAAGGTTTCCCAGACTGCCCTGATCTCCCAGACTGTTGTTCTAACTGGTGAGGAACATCCAGATGGATTAGAAGGATCTTCATGGGACAATTTAGCTGGAGGCCTTCAGACAGAAGCTGCCATCAAGGCTTAAAGTTATGATACATGCATAGATAGAAACATCTAAATAGAACTGCATTGATACCAGCAACACATTTCACGTGGTACAGCTGTAATACTCAAACCCTGGCCATTCCTCCCACGCCAGTGTCCATTTGAACAGCTGAACAAAAGAATATTACCAATTATTTGAACATCTTTTCCAGAGAAAGTACTGGATAGATCACAGAACGTACTGGGGATAAACATATAACTGAATTAAGATTAGTTAGTAAACAATACAATTGTAGTAACTTCAGTGTTTCTTTAAATAATGACTAGTTAAATGGATCCTCGCTTAATTTACTTTATAGGTGCCACTCCATCTTTATGTTTGTTTTTCACACAGGCGTCTCCTGGCTGAAGCTGCTCTTCAGAAGCTGGATCTGCAGACTGCTGAACAAGCTTTTGTACGTTGCAAAGATTATCAAGGTATTAAGTTTGTGAAGCGTCTAGGCAACCTGCAGAGTGAGTCGATGAAGCAAGCAGAAGTGGCAGCCTATTTTAGCAGATTTGAAGAAGCTGAAAGAATGTATCTGAATATGGACAGAAGGTAATCGCGTGTAGTCATCTCAGCAGCAAATAAAGAAAAGAGGCTAAAAAAATTGCTTGCCTTAATAAGGAATGGCTGTTTTAGCACGAATACTCTTTACCAGTTTCTGGAAAAACAGGAAAGGATCACACGGAGAGAATTTTCTTGTATCTATACATAACCAATCCTATGTGTAAATCAGCACATACAAAACTGTTTGCAAAACCTCAGCTGCTCTAGGTAGGGCTGTGTTTTGTAGATGTTTTTTGTAAGTATTTTGTTGGTATTTCAACTGGGATTCCAGAAATACAAACAAACAATCTTAACTGATGTTTAATTTATGTACTGTTGCTCTTAACTAGTAGCCAAGTACACATTCTTTCCAATTACATATACAAACAACAGAGTTCTTAATGAACTGTAATCTCTGGAGAGACAGAAAGGACTCTGGATGAAATTGTGGACTAAATAATGGAATTTTTGCTCAGGAATTCAAACAAACAAAGCAAAATTACAGTATTACTGGGAAATATAAATTAAGTCTAAGTAATTAGCTGGAGCACTGTCTTTACTGAATAAGCATAATGAGAAATAATAAGCAGCAGTTGTACAGTGTAGCCTGTAGGTGGTGGTCAAACATGGAGAAGCATGAGTCACTTATGCACATGTGCAATTTTTAATCTTTGATAACGGAGCCATGAAAAAAAGGAAGGAATGATGGAGAAAGAAATATTTCTTCTTTGATGCTGTAAGAATGAGAAAACTTCCTCTTCTGACTATTTGCTCTTATGGAATACTGTTTAAATTGTAAACAAGCTATGCGATACCTGTGATGTGGGTTATGAACATGAAGGTACTTCTGGATGCTTTTCTCAAGATCCTTGTTAGCTATTTTACTGTCTTTGACCTTTTTCCTGCTGTTTTCTGTTTGTACAAGGGATCTTGCTATTGGACTACGGATAAAACTGGGAGATTGGTTTCGAGTATTGCAGCTATTAAAAACTGGCTCAGGTGATTCAGATGATGCCCTTCTTGAACAAGCATACAATGCTATTGGAGATTATTTTGCAGACCGTCAGAAATGGTATGTTCTATAGGGGAGCTAGGAAGAAGGAAATTACGAAGGAAATTGTAAAACTAATGACAGGACTTAATTTATGAGGGACAGATATCAGGGAAGTCAGGATAAAATACATGTGTTAATTTTGAAATGATGAGATTTATCTCGGACCTTTATGGTTCCATCACTGCATGTACCTTTAAACAATGGGCTGTTGATAAACTATCTAAAGAATGAAGATTATAAAAATCTCAGGTTTGCCAGATGTCTGTCTGCATCAAACGAGGTGGAGGGAAGAGAAATACCTATGCAATTGTATTAGGCTGGATACAGAAAGTATTAAAGAAAAATAAAATCAGTAAAAAAAAAAAGTAGGAGAGAATTATTAAACATCAGTGAATTTCAAAACCAATCACAAATTTCTAGAATGCTTAAACCCAAAAACATTGGAAAAGGCCCAGAGTTCTCTCTGACCTGGATCTGTCTCCAGCAATTGCTCAAACTGGGCAGCCAAGGACAATTTTAAGAACAGTGCCTGCATATAATGGTATTTCTCCAGAACAGGTTTTGCAGTCAGGTACTTACTGAGCCAGAAGTGACGTCTTTGTAGTCAATAACTTGCAGAGAAATTTTGTTTCATGAACTTTTCTTGTTGCCTTCTAAGCCCATGTAAACTTTTAGCGTCTGTCTTACAGAGTTCCACAGCTCCACTATGTATTGCAGTTACCCAAACTAGATTATCACAAAGAACGTGGGTCCCAAAGCAGTTGAAAACTTGTGATTAGATTTTGATACTTGGTTTTTAGATGCTTTAGGTAGCTTTGGAGAATGGTCTTGGAGACCTTAGTGCTTGTGTTTAAAAATATGGAAGCATGACAGTAAAGGCCTTTTCTGAAAGTGTAGTTGTAAGTTGTCCGTTATCGTGATCCGTCCAGATGTGGGAGTACAGTTCTGAGATTCCTTGACTTCTCAACATTATGCTAGTCAGAGAATCATTCTTGCTACTTCTTCAATATAATGATTTCTGAAAATTAAAACCTTTAGTGCATTTTAGAAAAAACAGTGACATTCTAATCACAAAAGGTCTCTCAAGCAAAGTGATCTATTTAAAATAATGCCACTTTAAATTCAGAAATGAAAAAGCTAACACAATGAGAAATTTCACTTATGTTTATATATCAGAAGCCACCACATTTTATTTTTCTCACTAGGTTAAATGCTGTACAGTATTATGTACAAGGACGAAACCAGGAACGTTTAGCTGAATGTTACTACATGCTAGAGGACTACCAAGGACTGGAAAATCTAGCCAACTCACTTCTGGAGAATAATAAATTGCTCCCTGTAAGCAAAAAGCACCTTTATTTTTCACTGTCTTATGTTCATGTGTTTGTTTAAAATTTCCCATATTGGGAGTGTTAAGAAAGAAAGAGAGAAAGAATGGAATATATTAACTAGTCACTTAAACTTGATGGTGTTACTTTGATATTGATCTCCAGTATTACTGTTGTTTTCATTACTCCATCATTCTTCCTCTCCCTTATTTCTCCAGGTTTTCCAGAAAGATCTGATTATTCACCCTGCTTTACGGCCACATGACTAAGTCATAATTCACTGCTTCCCTCTCCAAGTTCTGGCATTTGTCTCTAAAATAGCTGTGCTTCACTGAGAAGTCACTTCTCATGGCTGGACACTTACTTTAGCTTTCACTTTGTTGTCTAGTCTACACTGGGCTTTCTCTTCCCAAAATTCTTCCTGGTTGCTATCCCTGGTTTAACATCTTGCATGACAGTTCTGTTGGGAATGCTAATGTACAACAAAAATTGGAGATACTCTGCTGAAAGGATGGAAGGTTGGTGGTACAGCCTGAAACGACCTACTGAGCAATAGCAAATTGAAAGCTGTGAGATGATTGATTACTCAAGTGCTTGGAAAATGCAGAACATGCTCACTTAATGCCGTTTTCAGTTGTTTGAACAGCGCAAGACATAGCACTTTCTTTTTAATCTCTTTCTAATAGCGAAGTTTTGTGAAACACTCTAAATAGTAAGAACACAGATTTACAACAGTACATGCTGTCTTCACAGATTCCCTTTCCCTCAGCTTACTGAAATTGAATTAAACAAAAATATAATAGTATTGCAGTCGCTATGCAATGTACTAAAAAACTCAGAGTAAATCTAACACGGTGCTGACGGTTTTTGCAGGATATAGCCTATATGTTTGTAAGAGTGGGGATGTGTGAACAAGCTGTGTCGGCCTTTCTGAAATGTAATCGACCAAAGGATGCAGTAGACACCTGCCTACATCTCAACCAGGTAAAACAGCAGTAGATAATCTGCTTCACCAATACCAATTTAACAGTGAGTTTCTATCATAATGCCCAGTTAAATACAAGTCCTTGTTAAGTGTCTGATGATTCATTGTGATTTTTGGAAAATTAATACTTCAGTGCTTAAGTCGATTATCTGAAATTAGGGCTAGACCATTGGAGGGACAAAGCCATATGGAGCAGTGCTACTTCTGCGTGTGTGTGGTGAGCATGCTCAGCATACAGAGATTTGTGGCCTTTGTAAAGCCACACTGTGCTGCCTCTGATGGCATGGGAGGAAAACTGGAGAGCTTCTGTCTGCTCATTTTCCACATCCTCCTCCTTCCTTGTACAGATGCAAATGTATTTATTTGTTGCTGTGTTAAGATGTAGCTGGAAAAGGACTGATCTGAAAAATGATCTGAATGTTTGCAGCTAGAGCTGTTCCCCAGTATGACTTACCTGTGCAAATGTTTCTGTCAACACAAATAAGAGAGAAACTGAGGATGGCTATGAGGAACTTGATTTATGAGACTGGCAGGACTGGCTAGCACTGGCTTTATGTGAACAATTTCCTAATTTCTGGATCTGAAAGGCTATTAGGTATGAGATTCAGCCAGGTTTCTCAGTCCTGTCAAACTTTTGACCTGGGGCAAACACAGGAGCCAAAATGAGGTGTATAGAAGGATAAGGAAAGTTTGTGCCTTGAGCTTATGGGCTGAAGTTCTCTTTTAGCCATGATTTTGACAGTCTGGGTTTTAGTAATACCAGAAGTGTTGTAATCCGTGTGTCCAGCTATGAGGAGCAATGAAGTGATTTTGCAAAGCTTTTACCAAAGCAAAAGCAACTGCTTTGTTTGTGGTTTTGGACAGAGGTCCAGCATTTGTTTCACGGGCTTCCTGTATCACTTGATTGGCCATGATGTTAGCATTTGTATTCTCTTGCTTTTTACTTGAATTTTATAGTAGCCTGGTTCTAAATGGTGATGAAGTATTGCACACAAATGTTGCAGGCTATTCATGGATAACCAGCTTGTTCTGTGAATGTATTTGAAAGAATGAGGTTGTAATTGTCTGCATTCATTTCTAGTGGAATAAAGCTGTGGAGCTGGCTAAAAATCACAATATGAAAGAGATTGGATCCTTGTTGGACAGATATGCAACTCGTCTACTGGAAAAGAATAAAATCCTTGATGCTATAGAACTCTATCGTAAAGCCAATTATTTCTTTGAAGCTGCTAAGCTCATGTTCAAGGTATGGCAGGTTTTATTTTTATGTCAGATGACTGAATTTCTGGACTAGCTCTTAATATTTCCATGCCATTTTATTTTTTGGGGGTCATTTTATTGTTAACAATGTCCAGGCAATAAGTAGATGTCACTGTAAAGGATACTGCAAAGCTCCTATGTTCATATATCTCTATCTGAAATAGTAACCCTGGATGTCCTCTGTAGCCAGTGGGGAGGAGACTTTCAGGACACAAGCCATCAGATTTATTTTGAGACTTTCACTTCAGAATGAGAGAAACTGCACCTCAGAAAAGGTCTTGTTTCCCTGCATTGGCTCGTAAAGGAGTATAGTAGACTGGCCTGGGTGCAATACCTACATTATTTCATATGTTGTGTGGATTAGTTTTCTCTCCTTTATTTTTAAAAATGGCAATGTCATTAACTCGAAGCTAAATTTTGGTATTTCTTCAGTTGGTACTTTTGATTAGAAGCTGTGGTATGGTGTGCTTTTAAGATAAAAGATGCTGCTTGGATTTGATTTTGCTGCAGAGATTTCTGTACATAGCTTAGAAAGTCTGTAAGAGTTATATGTAATTTTTACAACAAATATTTATATATATATATATCTATTATATATAGAAGTTACTTTCAAAAGCTGTTCTTCTTTTCTGGGAAAACCACCAGAACGTATTGAAAGCTATGTATTTCTTAAACTTCAGTGTTTGGAAATCACTATTTTTTAGTTTATTTTTATATTAAGTCAATAGACTTACACATGTTTACACTGACTTATCCTTCCCAAGAATCTGGCTTTATATACTTGTTAGCTAAATAAATATAGAATAATGTGCATTCTTCACTTTGACATTTTCATTTATAGTTCTGTTTGCAGTCTAAATTATTACACTCAAATGCAGACTCGTTTTTTGGCATGATTTCCTAGGTTTGTACAAGCATGCAATTGTCCAAGGGAATGAAGCAACTCTTCTAATATTCTTTTTTTCTTTTAAAATCTACATTAAATTCCTTGGTTTTGTTTTTTAAGATTGCAGATGAAGAAGCAAAGAAAAGGACAAAGCCTTTGCGAGTTAAAAAGCTTTACGTATTATCAGCGTTACTTATAGAACAGTGCCATGAACAAATGCAAAATGCACAAAGGGGAAAAGTTAAAGGAAAAAATTCAGAGGTAAAGTGTCTATTTTTTAGTTTTTAATTTTTTATTTTTTCATTTCTGAATTCTGGTACGTGCTACCTAGTGAGTATAAACAAAGTGATCTTCATGTAAGACTATAATGGTTTTTTTAATAATGCTTTTTCCTGCTAAGAACAAAGCTTTTCCTAAAGCTTTCAGGAAAACACACTGTTTAAAGTATTATTTTAAAACATTTAAATCACATGTATTAAAAGGTATTTTTCTTCCTAAGTTTAATGTGTTTTTCTTAGTGTTTTCACTATAGCAATGAAAAACATACTTGAGAAACTCCAGATTTTTTTCTTCCCCTGCAAGACACTCACTTTCCTGTCATTTAGGAGTTAGTGTCAATCCCAATGAGAGATCTGTGATTAGATTAAGCTTTGTTGGCTGTAATTTAGCAGGGAGATGGCTCCAGATATGAGGGAAGCAAATGGAAGATTTTTTTTTCTTCTGCTCACACTTTCATCTTCATGTGCACAAATGAAATAGTTTAAACAAAGTTTTAAGAGATCTGGTGCTGAAATGCAATATTAATCCAAACTATGAACCAGTCTGCAGATGTGCACAGAATATATTTGTACACATGTATATGATATTTATCTTGGCAAATCTGCACCATATGTTCTGCCTATGCACTGTATAAAATGCCTAACAACGTTCGCTTTAGGTCCATGTATTTATATTCTCCCTAGTTATCACAGACAGTGGTGTAATCACCAAGTACAGAAAAGTTCTTTTCATATATCCCCATTTCCTGCTGTATCTGTTTCGTATAAAAATTACTTGTGATACTGCTTTGTTTCCAGACTGCTTCAGCTCTGGCTGGTTTGCTAGAAGAAGATGTTCTTTCTTCAACTGATCGCTTTGCAGACAATGCTTGGCGAGGAGCTGAGGCTTACCATTTTTTCATCCTTGCACAAAGACAGCTCTATAAAGGTTCTGTAGATGCAGCACTTAAAACAGGTAGGACTTCATTTTTAACCCTGTACAGAAACTGTTCTAATTTTACAGACCTGCGCTGCATGTAATTTCATTTATAGTTGGCACGTTTTTCTATTCTTGCTACATCCATGGAATTTAAAACAAAAATGTATAATGAATTGAATATGGCTGCAGTCAAAATACCTGGAAAGTATTTCCTTGGAGACAACACAAATCTAACTTATGAAATATTACCTGGTTAAATTGGACAAACTCTTAGACGTTCTTGTGACTATTTTGTTTCTTTCTTTAAATTATAAGCCATTCCTGAATCCACATCAGACCTCCCTGTAGAGCTTCATACAGTCTGTGGGAGTTAGAGAAGCAAATAGTGCCCTATACTTTGTCCAAGTAATGAAGGTCCATTTCAAATAAATCTTAACACTTTTTAAGTGTCTCAAAAAGAAAAAAATCCTCTTAGTTTTATTTCTTCTTAAAAAGTGTTGAAGCACACATGCTTCATACTTATGTTAATAAAAGACTTTGGTTCATTGTGTCCAATTTAAGATAAATAGTGCCTACTAGTAGTAAGTATTTCATACAGATGCTTGCACTTCTCAGAAGACATATAATGATTTCTTTGGGATTTTTTTTTTTCATTTCCTAGCTCTTCATTTGCGAGATTATGAAGACATTATCCCTGCAGTTGAAATCTATTCCCTTTTGGCACTCTGTGCGTATGCAAATAGAGCATTTCATATTTGTTCAAAAGCCTTCGCTAAACTTGAATACCTAGAAACTCTTAGGCCAGAGCAGAGGCAACAGTATGAAGACTTTGCTCTAGAGATATTCACGAGACATTCTCCCAGGTATAATAAAACCTCTCATCTGGATGACATTCTTGAGAGGTGGGTTTATGTTTATATGATATTGTAACAATACTAGCATTTTTTTTCTGCTATTGTGTCTATTTTAGGTTTTAGCAGGTTTTTTGTGACCAAGTTAATTAGGTGCTTTGCTGCTTAAACCAAATATTGGGCAAGAACGATGCAGGTTTGCAGAAAGGGTAATACAACAGTATTTTATTTGGGAGAATAGACACTGACTGTATTTGAGGAACTGGGCATAAAGATATAGCTTCATCTTAGTTTGAAACGCGTGTGGGCAGAGCACAGGAGCGTTAGGACCTTTGATAAAGAGTCACATGCCATTAAAATAATAATGTTACTGTTGGCATCACCATTGTGGTGTGATGCAAATTTGAACAAGTGAATGTTTAACCGTCATTACCAGTAAGTCTCCAGTGCTTTGTGAATTACCTAAATACACAAGGTGTGAGAAGATGGGTATGTCAAGTGAACGAATTGGAATATGACGGGCACGCGTAAGGGGTAGGTCCTTGGAGTGGCTGTACCTACAATGGCGTCTTTGTGTGTTTCCTGCTAACAGCATGAAATTTGTGAGTATGGAAATCGATTGTGAATCAGTTTTCTTTTTAATGAATAGGATCTTAACCTGTCGTGTTTGATTTTACTGTGCAGATGTACCGAACCTCACTAATGGCTTTCATGTTGAGTCTTCAGAGGAATAAATACAATAGTAGCGCAGGTGCCTAATTGGACCTTACTTTTATATGGCCTTCGCTGCTGCTTTTCACTTCTTCTTCAGGATCTGCTGGTCCTGATTTGTTGACTGTGTGGTTCTGGGGTGTGCATTCTGTTGTGTGAAGATTTAAGTAGTTGGCCATGTTAACAGTGAAGTGTTGTATGATTTAATTACTTCTAATCAGAAGTGACACACATCTGAACAGAGCAGCAGTATTTTACAGATGAGCACCACAAGTTTTGTAACCAGCTGCAGACACACAATTAGGTGTTTATGCCATTTTGATAGACACTCAATTAGGTATTTATGCCATTTTGCAAATTTCTACAAAACAAGTCTTTGTTGCTATTTTAAAACCACGTTTTTATTCTTTCAGCTTTATTTAGTATTCCTAATTTTTTTTCCAAACAGCGGAGATGGGAAGCTTCCTGTATGTGTTGCAACAGGAGAGCCTATCCTGGAGTATCAGTTCTGGATGTGCAGTGTATGTAAGCACTGCATGAACGTCAAAGCAGCAAGCAATTATAACTTCTGTCCTCTGTGCCACAGTACAGCATAGCAGAGGATAAAGGACTGCTTATCCTCCTATCTGTTACGGCTCCTAAAAATACTCTGTAAAATGTTACCAATGTGCTGTTTTAAAATACAACTCAGGTACTGTACTGTAACAAATAGTGTCACTATTAGAGACACATTTAAAAAAAGAAAAGCAAAATGAAAAAAAAACCAAAACCAAACCTTTACTGGTTACATTTCTGTGAAGAAATGGCTGTGTTAATTGTCTCCATTTTTTTTTTTTACAAAGGTTTAAGGTAAAAGCATTCTTTTCTAATTGTGAATTGAGTCATGTCAAAACCATGTGAATTGAATACAGGTTTGTTTTAGTATGTTTTACTCTGAGCAAGCTCCATTTTTCATTTTTGAAATTCCATAGGAAATGACTGGATTTTCTCAAAATTCACCATTTTTTGAAGGAACACCTGAGCTGAAATAATGCCACAGTACTTGTGATAATATTATTGTTTCCATTTTTCTGTTAGTTTTAGTAGAACGTTGGTACCAGTCGTGCTATTTTTCTTTTGCCAAGTGTATTTAAATGCACCATAGCAATAAAGGGCTTGCAAACATTGAGCATTCGGTGTCATTAGTCTGGGTTCTTCAGCTTTGGTGATGTCTTCAACCAGTTAAGGAAACTGCTATGAAACTGGAATCTGGTAATAAGCTGTTTTTAAGTAGCTTGAAGAGAGCAGCTGACATCTGTTGCACAGACTTCAAGAGCTGAGCTGTGATCCTCGTTATAGGTGGAGGTTTAAGGAACGCTGTTCTACTTAGAACCGCGCTATCTGTTTTATTGCTGGATTTGAGCCTCGGCTCTGCAAGTGCTGCAGGTCCTTGTTCACCACTATCAGCTTTCCCCAGGACAGCCTTGGCAGCCTGGCAGCGGCCGCAAGCCTCGATGTTTGCGCTGTGTGTCAGCATCTGAGAGGGCAGCGCGTGGCCTCTTCTGTGCTGGCTTTCAGGGCCAGTGAAGAATAAATAAATTCAGGTAAGAATAAGCCTCATTTTGTATGGAAAATATTAAATATTACTAAATATATTTTCTGTCCTACTATTTGAGCTTCTTTTTCCTCTGTAGAGAGGTGTATTAGAGGGCTGTGCTAGTTACAGTGTAAAATTATAGAATTGTTATGGTTGGAAAATGCCTCCAAGAGCATCAAGTCCAACTATTATCTAACTCTACCGCTTCTAAACTGTGTCCCGGAGCACAGTATCTAGGGGTCTTTTAAACACATCCAAAGATGGCGATTCCACTGCTTTTCTGGGCAGCCTGTGCCAGTCTTTGATAACCCTTTCAGTGTCTAAGTTTTTCCTACTGTCTAATCTAAACTTCCCCTGGTGAACTTGATGCTGTTCACCCTGTTCTATCGGTTCTGACTTGTCAGAAGAGGCCTACACCCCTTCCTCTACAGCCTCCTTTCAGGTAGCTGCAGAGGTTGGTAAGGTCTCCCCTCAGCCTCCTTTTCTCCAGACTAAACAACTGCAGCTCCTTTAGCCACGCTCCACCACGTCCATGTCTTTCTTATTGGGAAAGACGTTTCTCTCTTAAACCTCATTCCGCGCTGGGGGGGAAGCCGGGTACCAGGCCGAGTCCCGGGTCCG